CAGTGTATATGTTTGGAGGTTTGGGTGTACGTGGGGTGTGGGTGGGTGTGTGGACATGGGGTTTATAGGGGGCTGTGTCCTTGTGTATGGATGTGGGGTGTGGGGGTACCACATGTTCCCCGGCTGCAACGTGGGACTTGCCACTCTGTGCTTCCATGTGCAGCTCCTGCCAGAAACCCCACCAAGGAGGCACGGAGCCCGCCCAGCCTGATGTTGCAGGACTCCCCACAGCTCCTGGCACTAGCGTGCTGTCGGGATGGGTTGTCTCTGTGCAGTTCCTGGCATGGCAGCCAGGAACCGCGTGCCACAGGGCTGGCCCGGCCAGCTCCATGCTGCACTACTTGGGCCATGGCATTGCAGCTGGGAAACATGGTGTCTGGAGGGTACAGGCCAGGCTGGCCAGCTTCCTGCCACATTACACTGGTCCCAACACAGAGCTGGCCCAGCCCTGTGGCATGTGGTTCCTGGCTGCAACATGGGACCCGCACAGAGCCAGGCTGGTCCCTCCCATCCCAGCCCAATGGCTTGGGAACCAAGGGAACCAAGCACCACTGGGCTGGGCTGGCTCTGTGCCGTACCATGCGGATCCCGGCATTGCAGCCAAGACCTGTGCACCTCTGTGCTGGCTCCGTGCAGCATGGCATGGAGCTGCCCAGCCCAGCTGGGCACCTTCCGGCACCACACAGTTCCTGGCAGTACAGCATGGAGACAGCCTGTCCCATCCAAGCCAGCCCTGCAGCATGTGGTTCCTAGCTGCAACACCACAACCTTCACAGAGCCAACCCGGCCCATCCTGTTCCAGCCTGATTGGCACACTAGTGCCAGGAGCCATGAGGAGTCCTACACCATCAGGCAGAGATGGCTCCATGCCTCCACATGGGGTTCCTGACACTCTAGCCAGGAGCCCCACGTGGAGGCACAGAGCCAGAATTTCCAGCTGGTTGGCTGGATTTGACCTGCAGGGTTCATTGCCATGACTGCCAGAACCCCTACAGTAGGTGGTGGTAATACCCAGTGTTTTGATGAAGCTCCAGAACTCAGGGAGTTAACATCAGTTGCTTCCCCTCCTTACCTACCTCTGAAATCAGTGTTTTAGTTGCCCCTGGCAACTAAGGTAGCAGAGGAATATTGTGGGGGGAAGAGGTAGTGGCATTAACTTCTCAAACTGCTGATACAGTGGCTCTAGCAGCTATGGGAATTGATGCCACCACTGCCACTCATGGGTCATCCAGCTTTGAGAATCCCTAGGACACAACAAGTTTTTAAAACCTCTGTCTCTAGAGCAATGAGATTTTGTAGCTCTTTCAACCTCTTGTGGTTATATTAGATCAGACTCTTCTCCCTAAGTCTGTCAGGTTCATACAGGACTTAACATATTCAAACTGTGTCATTTAAAAACTTCTCCATCAGAGGCTATTACTGTGGTCTTATTTAATAATAAATACTTTGCCTTCTATCCATTTTTCTCAAAGCACTTTATGAATATTCATAAACTTGGCCATAATAGCCTGTGAAAAAAAACTTCCTCATCTCCAAGATGAAGACAAATTGCAGAGTTTAAAAGGATGTTGTTGATTTGAAAATTGCACTTCTATCAACTTGTTTGCTTATTAGTGTTACCAGTAATACCCATATTCGTTATAAGACTGTGGTGAGAAACTTTTTTGCCGATTTTTATTTTCTGAATCTCGACTGCATTAGTTGCATTTTCTGTTAGTGGTTTCCGCTGTCTAGCCTTTCACACAGCAATAGGAGAAAGAGGGTGGGGGAAATATATATATTTAGTTGAGTACCAAGGATTTGGAACAGGTTTCCCATAGAGGTGGTACAGTCATCCACCCTGGTGATCTTCAAAAAGCATCTTGATGCCCATCTTGCTTGGGTCATCTGATCCCAGCAGTCTTTCCTGCCCAAGTGCAGGGGGGCTGGACCTGATGATCTGTAAGGTCCCTTCCAGCCCCCAACAACTATGAAACGATTATGTTTCCACACTTAGATGGAAATACAGTATTCTTGTAGATAAGATACAAAACAGACTGAAGAAATGTAGGCTTGCTCCTGGTTCTGCGTGGCCATGAAAGTTGTTTAAAAAAGGGGATATTAACTTGACATCTGGCTACTTTTCTTGAACCCCATGCATCTGAAGTGTCTACAGTTTCACATTTTCTGGTTTACAAAATAAATAAATAATTTATATAAAATAAGCCAAATAATTGATGAGCCTGTGCCTTGGGTTCTATGGAACCTTTACCTAAATCAAAGTTCTTTAAGATGTGGTAATGATTCAGATTCACTTCAGGTTGCTTACAAAAACGGCATCTGAGTTGCATCTTAATTAATCATCCTGTTAACATTCTTCCCTCCACTTATGTTTCTATCTTGGCAAATCTGTTCTCCTTTAGCATACTGTCAAAATAATAGTCTTTTTAGAAATGTCTTCTATCTGGTTTTTTTGTTGGACACTCGGTTGGTTCAAGAGAATCAAATCTCTGGGTAACTGGTGAACTTAAACTGCAGGTCCAAATCCTTTATGTTTCTTAAGCATTGCATCTACTTATTTGGACTCGTTCAGCTTACTAGAGCCCAAATTTGTGCTGTAAAGGGGCCTGATTTTTCAGAAAATACTGAGACGTGCCAAAGGAGCTAGATCTAGTATGCTTATAGCAGGCTGCATTGTGTACTGTAGGTATACCATTATTATTTACCTGTTGCTTTGTTTATGTGCACCTTGTTTGCCTCTGTCTGTTTAATCCAGTTCTTTTTAGGTGCACTGCAGTGTCTGTGATCACAGTTGTGCATTTCAGCATAATACAAATCCAATGTTGTGTCCAAATGCAAAGGAAGACTTTTTTTTTTTTTGTGCTACTATTTAGTTGGTCTAATAAAAGATATCGCCTCTGACCCAAGGGTTTTGTTTGTCTCACAAAACCCCTTTCATTTGAACTGAAATGGAAGAGAAGGTACAAGTCAGGGCAAATTGTCTAGTGCATTAACACAGCAAGAGAAAAGCAAGCTGTCCCTCACAGCTGCATTTAGATGTCTTAAAGGAAAAATGGGAATCTTTCACATTCCCAGTATACCTTTTATAAATTGTTCAGAGCCTTTCTATAAGAAAGATCCTGGATCAAATTCAACCATGTTACAAGTCTGCACAGTTGCCATTGAAAGCTGGATTTGACCTAGTTCCATTCAGAAGGACACTGTTCCTCTTTACGACTAATGAGCAAATGTAGGCTATCAGTAAGACTGGAGGACAAATAAACCACTGTATAGATTTTTGACATATATCCAAAATAGTATCTCAGCATTATTAACAGAAACCTTATAGTGTAAAGGAGCCTATTGGAATAGTATCTCATGAAAGGCTGGTGGAAATCTTGCAGTGTCCATTCAGCTTCATTGTATAGAATCCAAAATAGTATAAAATTTAGATAATAATACATTTTTACTATTACACAGTTCAGATGTAGCGAGTTCTCGAATTTTATAGTAAAGGAGATTTGGGGGGGTTCCTACATTATGCAGATGGCTTATTAGAGGTATACTAGGTTTGTTCTCTTCCCCCTAAAAGTTTGTCTGAGAGCCAAACCAAATAACCAGGAAAGCTTGGTTCCAGAGTCAAGTTTGCTCTTGAGATGAAATGCTCATTCCATATGTGGATAAAGCCATCTTGCTTTGCTCTTCTAATGACTCTAATAGTTCCAACAGTAATCTTTTTTTTTTTTTGTCTACGAGATGACAGAAGCTAACTGAAAGGGCTGCTTAGACTGTACTTTCTAAGGAAAGAGTAAGAAAACAAACTGCCAGCAGAGGTTAGGATGGCCATGATGACATCATAGCGTAGGGACACCTATGGAAAGAATATTCTACCGTTAGTGGTATTCTCTCCACGGATCAAAAGAATGCAATAATGTCTGACTAGGCAAGATTGTGGGCTCTAGGATCACTCTGGTGATTTTATGGATTATCTTCACCATTATCTTGCTAACTTCTTGAAGTAGCTATCAGAATTCAGAGAAGTTCTGTTTAGGGTCCTAACAGGATGCTGCCCCATTCACATAGTATTTGTTTAAAAATGTATGAGCTGTCCACAAGGGTGCACTCTTTCTCCAAAAAATGGGATTGGTGACCACTAAATATCCCATACCTGTGTTCCATAGAAACTGTATTTAATTATTCATGTTTACTATAATATTAAGATTGTCTTCACTTCCCTGAAGTAAATGGCACAACCTGGGAGAAACTTCTGTTAAAGAATCTAAATATGAGAAGAGCTTTGATATCCCCTCTTATCCATAAAATAAAGCACTCAAAGCACTTCACAGACTTTCTGGAGAGATTCATTCCACACCACATTCTAAAGCATAGTAATTATTCAGTAGCATAGGATTGTTCACACTCATCAGCCTGCTCTGGGAGGCAAGGCATACCTGATAGGAAGCAGGAAGTAATGTGAACAATACTCTTTAAATGGTGGCATATTTTCTTCCACTTCGGAGTTATTTAGAGCAGCATCAGTTGTCGCATTATTTTCGCAGCTTTTATTTCAAGCAAGATTTTGAATCTTTGCAGAATGGCACAGGATTAAGTAAAACACTACAGTAATCAGTCAAGATTAAATGGTTGCTTCTGTGGTTAGTTCATTACTTTCTAACACAATATACTAGTTCATAATTTGACCAGCGAGTTCATTTGCAGCTTCAACTAGTTACGGTTTGTAGCACTAATGGAAATAGAGTATTCAGCACTAGGCAGTGTTCTGTAGTAACACTTCAGTAATCTGGACAGGTTGAAAGTTAAGGGATATTTAAGGAAGTCACTTTCATTCCAGGAAGATCTCTTTAAATACATAGCTCTGAAGAAAATGGAATGAGGGTGGAGACAAAGTCCTCTACAGGACCAGCAAAAGATTTTTTTTTTTTTCTTCGAGAAAAGAGAACTGAAAATGGTGCGACAAATAAATGTTTCAGATAATGGTTTATTCATTTTCCTTATTCTAGGTTATGCATTGGATCCCTCTATAGATAGTCCTGAAGTTGCCACTAAGTATATTGGTTCTGTAGAAGAAGCGGAAAAGAATCAAGGTAAACCATTTTAAAATCTGATATGAAACTAAATGTAGTCTTAATTGCAACCTGTTATGTTGTGTTTTGATTTTTGTACGAAATAAGTAAATAGCTGTCATTAGATACAAGGACAGTATCGTCAAATGTCTGGTAATGACACTGGGAAAGATGCTCCCTAGAATGTAAATGTGAATCTTAGTCCTCCAGGGTTTTTTTCTACTAAGAAATTAAATTATAATTTGACGTTAGAACATAGCATATTTGTTCATATACAAATCAATGTTAAAGGCCAAGTTTTGAATTGAATTAGGCTTTGAATCTATCATTTTGCCAGATCTGAGCTAAAATTATACTTTTTTCTGCACTGCAGTAGCTGCTTAATCATCTATCTTGCTCAGTGATACAAGGCAAACAGATCAGTCCTGGTGAACAGAACATTTAATACTTCTGTTTGCAGCCTTATCACTACTTAGCAAAACATAGTTGTTCAGGGGGTTGTTTGGTTTTTTTAAGGAAAAGCCACTGGCAAGTTGCCAAGTGGTACAGGCATGCTGAATATGTAAGAGAGTGACTGCCAGAGGCAGAGAAGGGCCTGTAATTAATATTTTGCTATAATATGTACAATGTTTTGGTCTTTGTGAAGTAGTTTATTTACATGTAAAATTGTGCCTAAGTAGACTTCATGGGTAGTAACATCTTCCCTTTATAGCTCTTTAAGATTTGTTCATCTGTGTAATTAAGCCACAATCATGTACTTTGTTCCCTACATGTGCATGTTTACATTTCACAAGGTTTGCGTTTCACTTTCTCCTTTAAAAGTAAAGTTAAGGAGATCAGAATTCCTTTGGAACTGCAATCTTGCTGTGGAAAGGCAGTGTCAAGATAATTCATATTTAAAAATAAGTGTTCAGTTACCTGTAACATCTCTAATTATTTTATACAAAAAAAAAAAAAAAAAAGCCGTAGCCATGTTTCCCAGGTATGTTGTTTGGTTTCACTGTTACATTATCCATAACTCTTTTATTTTCTACTCAGTCTTGCTCTCCAGTTCAAATGCATTAGATTGCTAACAGTAAAAGGTTATTGAAGTTTTTAAAATTTCAGATTATATAATTGTATTGACAGGTTTTGTATGCACTATATATGCTTTAACATCCAGAAGTCAGTCACTCTGATTGCCCATGGTATTTTTCTTAACGTTTTATTGCAACAATGAAGTTCTAAAACTGCAAGCTAAGTTCCAAATGTAAAAAAATTGTAAAAAGCATAGCAATTCATGATAGATTAGTATGTGTGTGCAATTTGTCTAAAATGGACAAGATGATGTTTTTATGCCTTCATTGTAAGAAGAGAAAAAATGAATGAGGATTCTCATTCTTTCTGTGGTGATTAATCTTTATGAAAAATCTGCTAGCAGAATAGAGAGGTTTATTTTAAGAAAAAATAAGGGTTTTGCACTTTCCCAAACTTCAAAGTGTGTAAAGCATTAAGCAGTTAAAAATGCCTGTTCGTGCTGTTCATATATGTGCAGAAGGTAATAGTGATAAATGTGACTCCTACAAAAAATCATGACTCATGCATAAATGTTAAATAATTAACAACAAACCATCCATCATAGCTATAATTTTAGAGTGTGTGTGTGTGTGTGTGTGTATTTATTTATTTATTTATTTATTTTTGGTATGCCGGCTTTTTGACTTTCATAAGTAGAGCAGTGTTGTAATCTAGAGCATCTTTTGCCTTTGGATATTTATTTACATTTCTAAACCCAAAACAGCGATCTATGTTCTTGAAATTAAAGAAGACACAAATGTCAGCATGTAAAGCGCTACATTTTTCCTTACAGGTTTAACGGTGTTTGAAACAGGGCTAAAGAAAACAGAAAAGAGGAAGAAATTCAAAGAGAATGATGCATCTAATATTGATGGCTTCTTGGGTCCATGGGCAAAATACGTGGATGAAAAAGAAGTGGCCAAACCTTCAGAAGTGCGCACTTTTTTGTTTGTTTTCTTAAATCAGTGTAGGATGGGAATTGTTAGCAATCCATTGATATACTGGGCAGCAATGGCAGCAGTCACTTATGGAAGCAGTCTTGTGTATCCACACAAGCCAGTGTTTCTAGCAAGAAGAAACGTTGTGGCAATGAGACACTTGAACAAAGTGCTCTAGATTGGAGAATTTGGAAGAAGGCTTTAGGTGACATTTCTAATTTATTTTGTTGGCTTTTGGACAGCTGCTGTAAATAATAAAAGCAAGCAGGAGGGAAGGATGGATAAATAAACTAACATGCAAAAGGGAAAAAATGACAAGTCGCCGACACTTGAATATCATAGAATGCATGTAAATAACTCTTTAAAAATTCTTTCCGGGGTATATATTACTAAGCTGTTTTGATGTAGGTTAATATGAACATACAGGAAAACCTAGTTAATTCAAAGTGCAAAGGACCAAAAAAAAGCAACTTCAAAATAAACAAGTTTGAAATAACCATACAGGGTAATTTGCATATATGCAGATTGCCACAGTATGTACAGATTTGCTTGTGCAAGAAGCCACGCAGATATTAAATAGAATATTAAACAGAAAAACCCCATTGCATAATCATTGTTTTAGTTTTATGTAAATTGCATTAAGTTTTAGCATAATTTCTCAAAGTACTTCCACGTATGTTTACACAAAGTGAAAGCTACTCAAGGTGTTATTTCAAAGCCAAAAGGCTTGTAATTTATTATAATGTGGTTCATGGGACTTGACCACTCCCCCCCCCCCCCAGTAGAGTCAGTCACATTATGGCTTGATGACCCCACAGCCCAGCACTGGTCAGTAAGTAAGTATACTCCAGTTACTTGCCCTCTTTTCTCTCTTCCTCCCCCCACCCGCAGATCCACCTGCTAATTAGCTCCCTATTCATCACTGGAACCAGGTGTTCTTGTCCTAAGTCCTGGGACCCTCCAAAAATTTATATGTAGATGAGGCATGGGGCCCCCTTGTCCAGTTCCACCTCATGGAGGGCAAGGCCACCCTAATCACATGTGACGGGGCAGGGGGGCAACAGAGCCTCTCATCTCCACAGATGTTTGGTGAGGGTTACCAGACATTTAAGGCTTATAAATAAATAGGACTCATCAGAAATGACAAAAAAGGCACTTTTCAGCTGTGGGAGTGAAGTGGAAGTTGAAATGTAGTTGATGTAGCGGTTCACCATGAGTTGAAAAACTCTCCAGTATCAAACTAATGAGGTTTTACTGTATTTCTGATCACCTTTTGAACAAGCATATGAATTCTTTTAATTTAAACAGTGATGCAGTTCAGGATTTTGTCATGAGATTCGCCAGGGGGTAATTGCTGGGTGAAAAAGTCAAGACAATACCTTGTTTTTCTAGGAAGAACAGAAGGAGTTGGATGAAATAACAGCAAAGAGACAGAAGAAAGGTAAACAGGAAGATGATAAGCCTGGAGAAGAAAAGACTATATTACACGGTAATGCCATTTTTATAATCTTCTTTCATTTTCCTTATTCTGCTCTCAAACATTTGCTATGCTTATTCATAGAATAATAGAAGATTAAGATTGGAAGGGACCTCAGGAGGTCATCTAGTCCAACCCCCTGCTCAAAGCAGGACCTCCCCAACTAGATCATCCCAGCCAAGGCTTTGTCTAGCCAGGTCTTAGAAACCTCCAAGGATAGAGATTCCACAGCCTCCCTGGGTAACCTGTTCCTGTGCTTTACTACCCACCCCATAAGAGAGTTTTTCCTAATACCTATCCTAAACTTCCCTTGCTGCAACTTGAGGCCTCTGCATCTTGTTCTGTTATCTGTCACCACTGGACACATCCAGATGAGCGCAGACGTGCTGTATGTGGTACCTTGGATCTGTCTGCAGTACCACACACCGCATATGCAGGCGTTCCCCACATTGCTACTTTGCAGCATGGGGGTGGGATGACCCTGGGATCTCCTGGGGTCAGAAAAACCCATGCCAAAAAAAAGCGGGACAGCACATGGCATAAGTGCACATCACCCAAAACTGGAGCCCGGCCAGCTGGAGCCATGCTCCAGCTACTGGCCAAGCTTCCTGCTGCAGGAGTGCTGTGGCTGCAGCTCCCAAAGGCCCCCAGGACCCCAGGTAAGGCTGCTGGGGCCAGCACAGTTGCTGGCCCCAGCCTCCCCTACCCCACTCGGGATAACCTGCCACATACCAGAGCACACATGGCACAGGCATTCCCTGGGGACAAGTAGCAGCGGCACAAGGTGTGCCACTGCTACTTGTCCCCAGGGAAACGCACATCGCCACTCATCTGGACACACGCACTGAAAACAGTCTAGCTCTATTCTCTTTGCAACCACCCTTCAGGTAGCTGAAGGTTGCTATTAAATTCCGCCCCCCTCAGTCTTCTCTTCTCCAGACTAGACTGGAGTCTGGGCAGAAGCCAAAACCCTACAAAAGGAAGTTTTTATAGTAGTGAATACCAGTTTGAGGCTAACTGTTAAAGCTTTTGAAGCTGGTATATGAACAGGTGGCATTTCTACCTTTACTTCTTGCAGGCATTAATCCAAATTTTTCCCCTCTGGAGATTTCTTTTACTGTTAACTTAATACCTTTCAGTTAAGTATTCTCACAATGTGTGATTATGATTATGACTGCTCCTTCCAAGACCTCATTAGCCCTGCTCATAAGGATGTGTGACATAGTGTCAGCCATGCTGTTGCCTTGCCTTGCTGAGTATCCAATTTAGAAATATAAAAGGAGTTGGAGTTAGACTGTCCCTAAGGTAGAGAAATAAGGAGCAGAGCTAATGAGGTTTTGGAGGGAGCAGTCATAACCATAATCATGCTTAACTGAAATACTGTATTCAGCGAAGAAGCCTATCAACTGTGGGTCTCCCTTCATTGGTACTAATTCCCTCATGCAGGCAAAAATGTAGTTGGAATCTTTTTCTTCTCTTCATAGAAGAGGAGGTGGATATAAAAGAGATCGGTTTTATTAATAGCTTGTGCTGTATTAGCTAGCTGTCAGCAGAAAATGGTGTTGAACTGCTTGTTCTGTACTTTTATGTGGGATTATATTGGAGAAAACAAGTGTGTGACTAGCAAGTCCTCATAATCCCTCTTGCAGAGATGTGCATTGTTTATTTTGAACATGAACAATTATTCTTGGGCAGAAAATTCACTTGAAGTTTTAAGGCTGAATAGATCTAAACCTTCAACCAAAAAGGCCTTAAGGGTTCACTTCTCTCAAACACAAACCAGCTGTAAATTCCAAGTTAACATTCAATTTTAGGAGATTACCTAAAACATTCAATAGCCTGCATGTCCATAATTAAGGTCACTCGGACAGCCTTCCTTCTGCCATGGGAATTTCCAGAAATTGAAATATTCACTTCCCCAGCCATTGCTTTGGTTAATACATTATTACCTACTGTTGGAACTCTATTCTACTCTGAAATGTCTCTGCCTAAACATAGGCAGACAAGGTTCCTTGGGTGAATTTGATATCTTTTATTAGACCAACCCAAATAGTTGGAGAATAATTATTAAGCAAGCTTTCGGGTTCAAAAACCCTTCATCAGGCTAAGGAAGTTTCAGCAGTTGGTGTGTGCTCTTCCTGGATGGAATGAAAAGTAAAGAAGCCAGAGGCTGGGCTGGGGAGTCAGTTGCCAGGCAGATTGTAATGTGTCAGAAATCCAATGTCTATGTTTAGTCCATGATCTCTAGTATCCAGGAGGCTGATGAAATGGAGTTCATAGGCTCGTCTCTGGGATGTGTTGTGTAAATTTCCCTTGAGGATCAGGACTGAGAGATTGGAGAGAGAGTGGCCCTCCTGTGAGAAATGTGCCCCCACCGGTAATTGGGTATTTCTGTCTTTGATAGATTTCTGGTGTGCGTTCAGTCTGGTGCACAGTTGTTGTATGGTCTCTCCTACATATTTTCCATCAGGGCATTTGGTGCATTGGATGAGGTATATTACATTTCTGGAGGTGCAACTGTAAGATCCTGGGATGCCGATGGCTCTGTTGTGGGGTGTAATAATAGTAAATACACCTCTGCCTAAACGTGACATTTCCTTGGCAGAATTTGGTCTCTTTCTGGCTTGTTAAGCAGTGTTTTAATACACTCTTCCTGTGATTGGGCTGGTCAGAAATTATAAATTACCATGTTTTGCATTTCTCATTAAAGACACTAGAGTTGTATAAGTGGCAACACCCAGATTTCAACTCCTGTTGACATCACTGGAAATGCTGCTATTGCCTTGACTCCAGGGACGTGGATTGAGATCCAGGAACCTCATTTATCCTGTAGAACCTTTATTATTCTTGATAGGGAATAATTCAGGAACAAAGGATGATGATCAGATTTTAAGAGTTTGTAGGACATGTATTTGGAAAAACTTTAGCTGTACACTAAACATACTTGGTATCAAATGATGGGGACAGTACTCCAAGGAATACTTCTTTAGGTCATTTCAAAGAATACTCTTAATGCTTGTGACAGTTAGATTTGCCTATGTGAAATCTTTGAACATGTAAACTGGCTGAATGTTTGAGTACTTTGCTTTTGGTTTTAGTCAAAGAAATGTACGACTACCAAGGGAGATCATATCTTCATGTTCCTCAAGATGTTGGAGTTAACCTCCGTTCTACAGTACCACCTGAGAAATGCTATCTTCCAAAGAAACAAATCCATGTATGGTCTGGACATACAAAGGTAGGGAATACTGGTTGGCTGCAAATAAGGTGACTTTCTATATAAAGCTCTTACATGCATTGTGGAGGTTATTCTTATCAATATCTCCGTTGGATACTTTCCTCTTTTCTTAAACTGAGTCTGAAAAATTGGGTGCACCATGAATTCTAGGGCATCTGAAATTTAGTGAAATATAGTACCTCACAGTGTAATATCCTCTTATCTTATCCCTGCCCACTATCCCAGTAGAGTTCAAAATATTGGTACCCTGAATAACTTACCTTCCAGACAGAGGACAAAGAAGCATGAGGGGCAGGAGAAGGAGTAAAAGCATGGAAATGGAGGATGTTGACAGGCTCTGGCAGAGTTGAGATGAGGAAAAAGACTGCTGAGGAGGAAAGGGGCAGAGAGGTGCTATTTTGGAGAGAAATGGGAGATGCATAGAGAACCACTGATATGGGAGACTGTTGCTGGGGTGTATTTAGAAGACCCTTGTCTGTGGGTATTACAGAAAGAAGGCAGGGTAGATTTGCACCTTTTAAACTAACCAAAGTAGATAAATATAACGCAAGATTTCATGCGCTGAAGCTCACTTCATCGGATGCAGTGAAAGGACATGCAGAAAACAGTATTAGAAGGAGAGAGAAATTAAAATACAAAAGACAAGAGAAGGGAAAAGGTAAGGGGAAAGGCAGCGGGAGGAACAGTGCTGGGAGAAACAAGAAAACAAGCAATATAAGCCTATAGAAGCAAGGAGTCGCAAGCTAATCCAGATAATGGGATAAGAATCCAAAGTCCCTGTTTAAACCATACTTAACACAGTCAAGTTTGGATTTTTTTTACCTTGTTCTGTAATCTCTGATTAAAATTGGCTTTTAAAAGTTTGCTGTCTGAGAATAGCCATCCCAGGTCAGTTATGAAGTATCCAGTGAGGTTAAAGTGTTGTGTCCCAGGGTTTGCATCTGCCTGCAGCTGGTCTGTCAGAGCAGTGTTCATTCATTCTGTCACATAGGTGTTGTTCAGTCTGTACAGTGTAGACTGCAGAGGGGCAGTGTAAGCAGAAGATGATGTATATGACATTGGTGGAGTTGCAAGTGAATGAACCTTTGATTTTATAATCAGTGTTATTTGTTCCAGCGATGATGTGGGCAGTTTCACTGTTGGAGCACAGAAGGCATTTGGGTCCATTGCAAGGCCTGGTGCCTCTGTGAGACTGCGAATTAGGTAGCCTGTTGCTTGAGAGATGCCATTGGAGGCTGGGGGGCTGCTGCCTCTAAGCCGTAACCCGTTTGTCCCCCATGACTTCTTTGAGATGGTCATCCTTTTTCAGAAGAGTTTGGAGGTCATATGTCTAAGGTGTTCAAGCCAGGGGCTTTAGGTGACAACTAGAGGAACTTTGTTGTCCTTGTCCCAGGGATGGTATTGTAGCAGGTCAGAGTGGGGTCTGAGTCTAGCATTGTTGATTTGAGTGGCTGCAGTTTTGGGGTTATAGTGTAGTTGTAGGAATTCCTGCTCTAGATCCTAGGTGTGCATCCCAGTTGGTGGGGTTAGAGCAGGTTCAGTTGTAATGCAGAGCTTGGCTGCAGACATTGGATTTAGTGGTGTGTTTGGAATGGAAGCTAGTGGCGTTAAAGTAGCTATGGCAGTCCGTCGGTTTTTGATGCAGTGTGGTGGCAATGTGGCCGTTGCAAACCTTCACTGTAGTGTTGGGTGATATCTTTTGGGGTTAATTTGATGGAGGGGTGGAAGTTGTTAATGTCCTGGTGAAATTTCTCTTGAGAATCTTTCTCCTGTGTCCATACAATGAAGATGTCATCAGTGTACCTTGAGTAGATCAGGGGAAGGAGAGGGCAGCTGCGGGGAAAGCTGACTTTACGGTCTGTTATAAATACGTTGGCATGTTTGAAGCCAGGTGTATGCCCATGGTAACGCTATTCATTTGTAAGTTTAGTTGCATACAAGGACAAAGCAGGAGAATGTAATGGCAACAGAAGCAGTTTTCTCACTGGGGATAATGTTCTTTATGGCTTGTAATTGTCCTTATGAAGGATGTTGGTGTACAGAGATGTAACATCGATGGTAACTAATAGGGTGTTATCTGGAGGCTTGTCAGTGGAGATCAGTTTCTTTAAAAATTTGTGGTGTCCTCAAATACCTGACAGCTCCAGTGCTATGCGGGCACAGGATAGTCCACGTAGCCAGAAATTCCCTCCATGATGGAGCCAATGCCAGAGACAATGGGATGGCCTGGGTTGCCAGGTTTGTGTATTGTGGGTAATAAGTAAAAGTTCATAGATGTTAGGGTCGGAAGGGACCTCAACAGATCATTGAGTCCGACCCCCTAGTTGCCTGGCCTGGGCTCCTGGGAGGTAAAGGCAGTAATCGTGTCCTGTGTTTTCCAAGGTAGATCCTGTCAGTTCCTTCTGGTCTTGTGCCTTGAAATTAAAAATAGTGGGGGAGGCACACAGGGAGCTTGTGGTGGAAAGAGTCCCTTGTGTATACATTTAATAAAACTCTCTGGGAGAAGGCAGTTTTATCAAAAATGCTTGTTCATTGAACCTGACACTTGGCAGAAATGTGTTGGTCTATGCCATTGAAATAGTAACCTGGAAGTTTTCTCAAGTCAGGTGGAAGGAAAGAGTTTTACCCCAAAGTAGCCAATAGCCTGTTAAGGCAATCGCCAAGGAATTGTGAAACAACAAAATTGTGAAATTGGGAAGCCTAAATTAGAGAGAGAAATCAAATATGCTTGCTTAAAACATGGGTCTTCAATCTGCACATCTGTCTTTTGTTACTAGTGTAGCAAGCTTCACTTTGCTTCTCATTGTGACTGCTCACCCAAGTAAAGTTATACATTTCCATTAGTGTTTTCAGGGCCAGAGTCTTTGCCTTTGTCATCTCTCACAAGGTCAGAGATAGAAGTACTAAATCTTAGAGAGGCCTCAATATTGGTCACACTGCTGTTGTATAAAAGCCATTGCAATCACAATTGTGAAGGATTGGGTATATTACAAAGAGGTATGATTGACAGAAGGCAGAGCTTCTACTGTGATAATCTTTTGTCAAAGCTATCATTAAAAACCCACAAGTTGTATTTCTTTCCCAAGAATTGCCATAGTAACATGGGTTTTGGGTTTTGAAAGAGGAGTACGCACACAGCTGTTGCAATGAATCAGGGTTGCCCCTGGCTGATTTATCAGTAGCAGTTGTTCAAACTGCATTGCTTTGCTGAAAGGCAAGTGTGAAGGAAAAGTTCTGTATAGTTGATGTTTTAGTGGTGTGTAAGGGGTTGCCCTAAACACTTTAGAAAAGAGGGAGTAGAATTAGGAATTCAAAAACATTCAAGTTTAACTTAATTTTTTAATTATAACTTTCTTTACAGGGTGTTAGTGCAGTCAGGTTATTTCCACTCTCTGGCCATATGTTGCTGTCTTGCTCCATGGACTGTAAAATTAAGGTGAGTTGGTTCTAAACATCTCTCCATACATGCATTGAATTCGCAGCATTTTAATTGAGCTGAACTTCTGTTAGAAATGGTTCACACATCTTCTGTTTTAAGTTTGCATCAGGCTAAGATATAGTCTCTCTGAAGCAGGATTATCAAATTCCACCGGCCAGATTGGGCCTACAGTCTACCCTGCATATAGGATGCCCTGCACCTGGCCTCACTCACCATGTGCAGCATGCACCCCAGAGTGGGATGCTCTGCATGCGAGACCCATTGGCTGGATGATAGGGCTCCATTGGCCAGATATCTCTTTGATACCCCTACTCTTGAATAACCCCTCCCCAAAATGGTTGGATTGACTTTGTTCAACAAGTCAAGTTGACCATTACAGACAGCTTTTACTAGAAGACATTCTTCTGCAAAGCTAAGTTTTACAACTGGCTGAAATGTTGGCAGGAATGAGGGTTTTTTGTTGTAAAAGTCCTGCTTTGAGTCTATGAAACTGGAAAAATTTATGAATTTTCATTTTGCTGCTGTCTTTTGTTTTGTATGTACTCATACAAGAATACTTAATTGTGTGGTTTTGTGGTTTTTTTAATGGTCAAATGAGAATTTTAGAGCTGGCTGTTTAAAGTTTAATGGCCATATTTTGCTTTCTGTTGAATTGTTTGGAAAACTTCTGTCTTGAAATTCAGAATTATGATAATTTACCAAAGGTTGATTGTCATTAGTCAGATTTGTTTAAGGTGTTTCACGTGCTTATAGCTGTTTTTTTACCACATTCTTCTTAAATGTTTTACCATTTTAACATCCTCTTCATTTTCTTTTTTCCCATCCCAAGCTATGGGAAGTATATGGTGAACGAAGATGCCTACGAACATTCATTGGTAACTTTTTCATTTCTTTTCTTTTTTTTGCTGAAGTCTTTGTATATTAAAATAGCTTCCTTATCACTTTGGTGTGTGGGTGAGTCATAGAGTATATGTAAGCATCTGAGAGAAACATCAGCTTTTCAATATAATGTTGGCAATGACAATTGCAGAGGCTGCATTTGTGCATGAGTCTCACTGTTTTTAGTGTTTTAGACTATTAAAGAAAAGTATACATCAATCACGTATAGGTTATTAACCAGAACAGAATCAAATGCAGCTCTTGCTTTTCTCTACTTTGTTACCTATTGCTCCCTTCAGGCCCCTTCTACATGTGCAGGTAAATGCACATGTGGCATGGCTGGAAGCACGATTGTGGGATTGCATATTATAGTTTCATAGTTTCATAGTTTCAGGGTCGGAAGGGACCTAATAGATCTTCTAGCCCGACCCCCCGCCAGGGCGGGAGAACAACCCAAAAACACAAACAAAACCACTCACCCTAAAAACAAAAACGGGACTCAAATGAGTCCCATTGTGATCCCATTGTGCCTTAATGCTGCCTTAATGCTGCTTGCACCAGCAAAAAACAAGCCCCTCCCCTTAACTGAGGGGCTTCCAGCCACAAAGGCATCCCATGCATCCCCGTGGCTGGGAGATCATCACTGTGTGACAATTCCCCCTATCCCAGAAGTGCGTGAAACCCCCAAGGCAGGAGGATTGCCACTGGGGTTTTCCACATCTCCATCCCCCACCCTCGTCCCCATCCCAGGAGTTATAAACACCCATGGGACTGAGAGATTGTAGCTGTGCCCTGTGGCTCCTGGAACCCAGCTGGGTCCCGGCATCAGGAAGAATATCATGGAGACCTAGTGTCTGCAGCTGTGGGACTGAGTCCTGGCAGCTGTGGAGTGCTGCCAGGACCCAGAATCCACAGCAGCTGGTGCTGAGAGTGCCTAGCAGCTGTTGGACTCGCAGCCCCAGCTGGGCAATGTGCACCCCTGCTAAGAGGGCCCCCAGTGACAGAGGAGATGCTGCTAATGCAAATTAAACCACATGCAAATTAAAGCTCGATAGCAGCCAGCTATAAAGTCAGTACCCATTTTCAAGTTCTAACTTTATGGCTCGGAGCTTTTTATTGTGTGATAAGTACTTTGCCCATGTAGCTGGTCTCAAGGTAATTGTGGAATTAACTGGTTATTTGCACAATACCTATAACATGTAAAAGGGGGCCTCATCATCCCATCTTAAAATAGATGTTACCTGTATCGGAGGAGAGTCTCACTTTTGCTGTGATGCACCCAGCACATTTTTATATGTTAATGTTCTCTGTGTCATAATTTTAAATAAAATTCTTCTGGGCTAGACAAGAACTGGATTTCTAATGCAGAAGCAGCAGAAAAATTTCCACGACCCATTTTTTAAGACCCACTTTTAAATATGAAAAAAAAAAGTCCAATACTTTTAACAGAGCCCTTTTAGTGAGTACAGTTGTGAACAGCTTAGCAGTGTTGGCTACAGTATATAAGCACTGGTCTTACTTTTTGAAATAGAAACGCTTGTAAAACACTGTTCAAATAAATGTACATCAGAGAGCAGCATTAAGTGCCTTTTACCTAACATCTTTGTTACATGAAGCGCCAATAGAGTCACAAAGCGGATGCCTCCAGAAAGGATTTCTGAACTATAATTTCAG